TGTAAAGGGCAGTGTGTGGAGCGGCAGATCACAGCGGGCAGCAGTCTTCAGGGTCGTGAGGTTCGTCCAGGACCGTATCCTCAACACGGCTCCATCCAGCTGGAGACTTTACCGCTCTCTCCTGAGGGAGTCATCAGAGGTGATGGAGATACAACAGATCAAGCTCCTGCTGCTCCCAAGAAAAGACTCCGAGTCACTGGGAATGGGAAAGTAGTACGTTCACACACATATTCTTAAACATAAACACACACTTAATTGAATCGATCAAAAGTGAGAGTGAAGACATTTACTAAATCAATAATTTTTTTGTAATTTAAGCATGCGATTTTTCAGTTTTATTAATTTATTTTTTATATTTCATACCATTTTTATTTATTTAAACTTAATTTCCTGTTTTTTCATTTCATTTCTGTTCATTTATTTATGACATCAAGTTTAGTTTATTAACAGTTTAAAATACAATAAATTAATTAGTCTATTTTTACTAGTTTATTTTTTATATTTCATAACTTTTATATTTATTTAAGCTTATTTTCTTGTTTTTTCTTTTTTCTTTCTTTATTTACTTATTTGTTTATGTATTAAATTAATTAATTAGTTTATTTATTACATTTATTTTTATTAGTTTTTATTTCATACAAGTTAGATTTCATACTTATTTATTACATTTAATTTATTTTATTAACATTTAAAAAATACAACATATTAATTCATTTATTTTTATTAGTTAATTTCTTATATTTTATAGATTTATTTAAACTTATTTTCATGTTATTTTTTCATTATTATTTAATTATTTATTTACTTATTAAATGTAGTTTATTTTGTTAACAATTAAAATATACATATACATTAAATATGAGTTTTTTATATTTCATAACAGTTAGATTTATTTAAACTGATTTTCATGTTAATTCATTTATTTTATTTATTTATTACATTTAATCTATTTTATTAACAGTTTTACAAACACTACAGTAATTTAATTAGTTTATTTTAGGTAATTCATTTTTTATATTTCATACCATTTATATATTTTTAAACTTATTTTCATGTTATTTATTTTAATTATTTATTTACTTATTTATTACATTTAATTTATTTTATTAACAGTTAAAATATACAATAAATTCATTTGTTTATTTTTTATTAGTGATTTTTTTTATATTTTATAGATTTATTTAAACTTATTTTTATGTTTTTTTTTTTCATTTTTATTTATTTATTTATGTATTTATTACATGTCGTTTATTTTCTTAACAATTAAAATATACA